AATCAACAACTGAACAGCCACAACACTCTTTAATAATAATAATTATGTGCCAGTAATTTCATTCGGACTTATAGCATCCTGTCCCAAGGTTTTAAAGTTGGTGTCAATTAGGATTTTACTCAGTGCCAATTACTCAGAAGTGATTTACCAGTCACCCTCTTCCACATTAGGATCACGAAAGGGAGATAGGCAGGTTATCGGTAAAACAAATGAAGTACTGGATGACGCCCAATATTTGTCCTTCTTTATGGGGAGGTAAAAGGAATACAAAGCCATTTCAGATAGGTAGTACAGAGGAGATCATCCTTAGATCCATTAACTTCTATGCAAGGTTAATATGTGTTAATTTCCCCTCTTCTAGGAAAATACCATGCTTTGGTCCCAAAAAGATTTCTATGGTAAATAGGATAAATTTTATCTGTGCCCACAAGCACCCTACTACCCTATCTGTAAAGGCTAGCTGATGAGAGAATTTGTGTTGTAGTAAGCAAGGGGGAAAGTGGAGGTTGTGGGAGGAAAGACTGACGCTAATTCATTCATTCTCACCTAGCCACTGAACACCCATACAAGAGTAAGGCAGACATTCATCCACAGTCATATGAATACTCAAATCTAGTAGTAAAAAGTTGAGAAAACTAACTATGTGAGATAGGAAGAAGAAAGTTAAAGAATGTGAATTTAAGTAGCAAGGATAGCACAAGTCGTTCATTTCCCCTTACATCTATCTATGTGAAATGTCTGACACAGCAGCTACAATTGAATATGTAGTAGTGGCCTCAGTTTGAAGCCTCTCTAGTACCTTTGAGTGGTTAATTAAAGCATCCACATGAGGTCTTGAGATTTACTGGTACATTCTTCTCTTGTGGTTCCATCAACTCCAACTTTTCAGTGTCCATTGCCTCACTTGAAATTGCTGGGCAGTTTTTACCTCATGAATGCCAAGTGGAATACTAAGGATCCGTGTGGGTGGCGCTCCACTCTGTGGATGATCCATGGCTCTTTGTTCCTCACCATTGTCATCCTCAAGAATTTCACAAATGCCCCTCTGAAGGCAATGCACTTTTCTACTTAAAAATCCAAAGATGACTATGCAGCAGTTTCTTTCGATATATATCTCCCTGTGTTCTCTGCCTACACAATGTGAAGTGGTTGGCTTTTAATTTAGAAATGCATGCAGCAAAGGAATCAGGTCAATTTCTTTCTTGTACATTTTTTAGAGTTTTCCAGTGTGTCTGAAGGCCTTGACAGTGACTTGAGAAATTAAATTGCTATAGTAAGGGAACAGACAAGAACATGTTCAGCACATCCTTTGTTTCCAAACTATGCATTAAAATGGCAACTGGCAGATTTCCTTCAACAGCAAAAAGAACCGAAAGAAAGATCAATGGATCTATGAAAAGCTACCGGCTAGAGTTCTGGCTAATAAGGGCTGAAATCCTTTTGCGGGGTTCTGTGTGTGTGCAATGGTGATGATGTCATCAGCAGTGGCCAATCACAGCTAATCAAAGGCTTCCTTTATGCGTGCACAAAACTTTGAGGCCTTGTGTATGAGTCACATGAACCCTGAAATCACTTCTAATTAGCAGCAATCAATGACAGCCTGCCACTAATGATGACATCTTTTCCATTGCACATCTGGAACAGAGCTTTGTTTCATTATGCTACATTTACATAGAGCCTGGAAATGTTGGCTAAGAAGGGCTCTGAGAGTTTTAGACCCCAAAGGACCTTTTTTGCGTATATATTCTGCTCTCCTTCCATCGTGGGCTTCGAGGCACCATATGTGGAGCTCCAGCTGGTTTCCCTTCTGACCACACTTCAGGAAAACTGATAGATCATGTCCCGTAGGAGCACGGATACACAATCACACTCAGGTCATATATGGAGTATATTGGGAGGCCAGGCAGTTTTGGGAATTGTAGCTCATAAAACACAGATCTTCACATCTCTAGCACAGAATGGAGCTCAGTTCTATGTGAATTTACACAGAATTAAACTCCAAGTTCAAGCATGTAAAACATACATTGTTGTTATATGCTGTCAACCAATGTAAAGCAATCCTAATAGGGTTTTTAAAATATATAAGATATTTAAGGAGTGGATTAACTAGTGCCACCCCCTTGAATTTCCACGGCCAAATGGGGATTTGAACCAAGGTCTCATTGATCTGAGGGATGTGGTGGCGCTGCGGGCTAAACCACAGAAGCCTGTGCTGCAGGGTCAGAAGACCAGCAGTCGTAAGATCGAATCCACGTCACAGAGTGAGCTCCCATTGCTTTGTCCCAGCTCCTCGCCAACCTTGCAGTTCGAAAGCATGTAAAAATGTAAGTAGATAAATAGGGACCATTTTGGTGGTAAGGTAAAACAGCGTTTCCCTAGTCACGCTGGACACGTGGCAATGGAAACTCTCTTCGGACAAGTGCTGGCTCTACAGCTTGAAAAACGGGATGAGCACCACCTCCTAGAGTTGGACACGACTGGACTAAAAATGTCAAGGGGAACCTTTACCTTTACCTCACTGATCTGAATCTGTCACTCTGTTCATTATACCTCAATGGCTGGGTACAGAGGACATGGCCATATGAGGAAGCCCAGAGGACCTGGTGGAGACTCCAGGAGGGCAACAATTGGCCAACCTCTGGTGTAGACCATTTTATTCAGCCGAATGGCATGTAACAGGGAAAGATAACTTCTTAAATCTGTGAAGATTCTCAGTCATTCAGGTGAGGTTATCTGGATGCTGCCATGACTCAGATTCCAGATAGCTTAAAAAATTATTTTACTAATGGTTGTTGTGGGTTTTTTGGCCTCTTTGGCCGTGTTCTGAAGGTTGTTCTTCCTAATGTTTCACCAGTCTCTGTGGCCAGCATCTTCAGAGGACAGCACCGACCCTATTATTTTACTAATGTTTTACTTGTTTCTAAACATGCAGGGAGGCAATCCAGAAATCCAGAGATTTCTGGGGTTGGGCCATCTGATTTACCAAAACTTGGTAGTGTGCATGTAAAGAAAGAATAGGATTTTTCACTGCTGTGGCCGTCTCTCCTGTTTTCTCCTATTGAAGCAAAGGGAGATAACTGCTCTTGCCAATTCTAGGACTAGTATAGATTACGGGCTTTTTTGGGAGCCTGTCCAAGAGTCTGGAGAACTATGGATGTATGGCATCAGAAAAGTGACATGGTTGTTTCCTCGACGGCTGGGAGGTGGGATCCAAAGTTTCAGCTCTTCGTCCAAAGACTGATCATTCTCAGTTCCATTTAAATCAGTGGAACCTAGAGAGGAACTGACTCACCAAATCCTCAATGATTCAATGGGACTACTTTAGTACAACGTACTATACTAGTACAGTGGGGTCTCGACTTACGAACGACCCTACTTGCGAACAATTCAACTTACGAACCTGCCCGACAGGGACTTGACATACGAACTTCCCTCGAGTTACGAACAGGAAAAAAAGTGCCCCCTCCCTCCCCTTAGAGGCTTCTGGAGGGGAAAAAAGGGTCAGAAACTTAAAAATAAATAAAAGAAAGTCACTTACCAGGCCTTGGTAGCCCCCGAACTGCAGGAAAAAGAGCACCAAACAGCTAAAAGCCAACGCCCAGCGGGGAGCCTGGCAGCCATTTTGTGCTCTTCTCCACTCCTGCACCCTCCTTTCCCGCCTAACAGCTGATCAGCTGGCTCTGAAGAGGCTTCTGGAGGCTTGCTCAGCACCTAAAAAGGCTGAGATGTGAGTTCCAGACTCCTGCCTGTGTGTCTTTGTGCTGAAAAAATCAGCACAACATGCTTTAAAACATGCTTTAAAATTGGCTTCGTTGAAAAAAAAGGTTTCAAAAGTTCTTTGCAAACTGTTCCCTGCCTCCCCCACTCCTTTCCTGAACTTTTCTTGACCTAAGGAAAAAAAGAAAAAATATCCCCCTCTAGTGGTAGAAGGCGGAATAGCAGCTTCCCATTAGTTTCTATGGACAGAAAAGAGCAGATACGGATTAAATGGTTTTCAATGCATTCCTATGGGAAATGCAGATTCGACCTACAAACTTTTCGACTTACAAACTGCCTTCCAATACGGATTAAGTTTGTAAGTTGAGACCCCACTGTATTATACTACTTATACTAAGCAACAGGATTTGGGACTGTGGGCCCTTTCTCTTTATGAAACAAAGTGGAGAGAGAGAGAGAGAGAGAGAGAGAGAGAGAGAGAGAGAGAGAAGAATGGTGGACTGATTGTTAAAAAAAAGAGGGAATCACTTCTCTCTAAATGATGGACTGATTGTTTTAAAAAAAAGAGGGAATCACTTCTCTCTACCCTAGACTTCAGTAGTCTATGGGATAAGATAGCTTCTATTGATACGTTATGCAATTTGTTCAACTTGTATGAAACAATTATCTTCTCAAAGGGCCAACAAAATACCTTGTCTGCTTGTGGGGAGAGAATAATTTTGCTGTTGTTCTTCCTTATGAAGGGACAAGGATGGCGTAAGCACAGATTTACAACCAGATTGAGGCCCTTTGGCCTGTGCCATTAAATACTTATTACGTACATTTTACTGTATTTGATTGACATTACAATGCAACTGTTACTGTACATGCGTATTTAGCAATTCTCTGTATGTTTTATCCCGAATATTTAAACCCAATCAGTGCTGAAAGAAGGAACTGGCATTCACATGCAAATAAGTCTGCCTTGAAGGGCATCTAGTATGTGTAACCTGCATAATGATCAATTGTAAACTGCCCAGAGAGTTCTTGAAATGCACTTGGGTGGTGTATAAGCAGCACACTTTGCTTTGCTTTGCTTTTTAAGCATCTCCAGTCTATTCTGGAAAAGAATTAAGTTCCCAGTGTGGCAGAAGTAGTTCTACAGGAGATACATTTAATTCAAATTCTTTGGTCCAGTGGATAATGTCTCTTTAGTTTTCCTGTTCTAATAGTGTGCTGGATTTGGGGTAAAAGTGTGATTTAAACAAGGGGATCCTTAATTGCATTTACCATTTTCTCCACAGAGAATGATACAGATAGAAGGAGAACCAGAGAACAGATGTCAGTTAATAGTCATGAGATGGACCCCATGAAGCTGCCAGACAAAAAGCGAGAAACTGACTTTCTCCTGCAATAAATTGACTTGAAAAAGTCTTTTGGAATAGGGGAAGGACAGAGTACTTTCAAATTCCCTAATTCATTTGGATGAGTGCATGATTATCTTTGACATTCCCAAAATGGAAATGTGATGTGCAAATGTGTTTCAAAAATTAATTCCTGGCAAGTTAGATTCACACTTTTTTTTTCCAGAAAAGGCACTTGTTCTGCTGCAGTGGCTCTTATTTTGTGAAGCTTTGCTTTTCAGACCATGAGTAACACTAAAAAAGCAAGTTCAGATCTCCACAAGTCATTGCTAATTTTCTGCCAGTAATATCATATAATCTGCATATTTTTAATTATTGTTTTAAATTATTGATGTTTCTTTAAACAATTTTCACTTCTGCTTCCCCTGAGTCTTATTCAGCTCTCTGTATTATATGTTCTGCATATGGGCTGATAAAGGGAAATAATATAGACCTTTTCCCATAGGAAACTATGCTGTTTCTCCATATTCTTGATATTCTTTCATAGCCTTTTGTCCAGATTGTTGTCCATCTGAACAACCATATACTGTGGCAGAAGTATTTTTGTTTGAATTTTTATTTTATTAATTATTAAATATTAGTAGTATTAATTATTTATTATTGTTATTGTTATTCATGATTTCCATGGTCAGCTCTGTAATCTATAAAGCACAGACTGACCTTTTTCTAAAATTCTTTGTATGCTTCGGGGCCAATGTATATTTGCAATATGACCTCTGGTGCTGTTTTCTTTCTGAATCCAGCCTGAACATTTTTCACTATATTAGTAGTATTAATTATTTATTATTGTTATTGTTATTCATGATTTCCATGGTTAGCACAGACTGACCTTTTTCTAAAATTCTTTGTATGCTTCGGGGCCAATGTATATTTGCAATATAACCTCTGGTGCTGTTTTCTTTCTGAATCCATCCTGAACATTTTTCACTCCATATATGGCAAAAGGTTTTGTTGTACAATCCTGAGCCTTACCTTGCTGGCATTCATGAAAAGACCCCATAGTTACTGGACTCTTTCTCATTCTCAACCTCTTTCTTTGAGGCTAGGATGTATATTGAATATTTTCAATATGGGAACCATTGTTTTATTTTCCATATTTGTTGGCATGTTATAATTATGATCTTGTAGATTCTGTCTCTTAAAGCTGAAACAGTTTTACTGGTATCTCATCTATTCCTATTAATGTATTATTTATTTCTTCTGATTGCTTTGCTCTCTCTCTCTCTCTCTCAATCTGTGTGTGTGTGTGTGTGTGTGTGTGTTTCACTTTCTAAAATTCAGAAAATCCTTAATCAAAAGGTTCTCCTTTGAAAGAATCTGTCATCCTTTAATCTTTCCTGCATAGTCCTTCAGTATGTTCTTTCCATCTTTCATTTATTCCATGAAAAAAAAGGGTATCAGGCACAGAATACTGTATGTGTGTTACTTTTAATGGGACAATAGAAAAATCAAAGAACCTTTTTATCCCCATGGAAACCTTCTTCCTTTTTTCCATTCTTGTGCATCTTTTACTGTGATGAACATTCTGCTCTATGCATAGAGAATGAAGGATTCATTTGCATGCCAGAATAAGTGATAATGAATTAACTGCTCCAGTCACTGCTTTTTTAGTCTACTGTGAAGATGAGAGATCGATTCATTTTACATTTCATCTGCCCTCTGGTGATGCTCAAACACTACTGCCTTTCATCATTCAATCTCTAAAGGACCAGGCCATCGACTGGTGGCATCACTCATTAGATGCATTGACGTGTACACTGTCTGATCAGCACACAGTCAAGAAAGGCTACATTTCAACAGGTGCCAGAGAAGAGGCAGGGGCCAAAATCTTATTGCAAGAGACTATATACCTAAGGGGAATGGCACAAATGAGTTTTGCAAAGTTTTGGTCATCTGTCACATGTTTTTTTGTGCAACTGTACGGGAAGCTGAGTGTGCCACCTGAGCGCCTGACAGATAGCTGGCATAAAGATGTCCTGTTGCCTACATGAGGGCTGGTTAACGCTGCTTGATTTGTGCAGGCCAATACTAGTTGTTTTAAGATCAAAGTGGAGTTGTAAGGACAAAAAGGTCTAAAAATTACCCTTTTGAAAACAATGATAACTTGCAGAATCTATGCTTGAACACGGATTCTGGGAATTGTATGCCAAGAAAGTAACTTTTTTCAACTTCTAACAAATATTGCTGCCTCTGTGTGTGTGTGTGTGTGTGTGTGTGTGTGTGTGTCTCTGTCTGTGTGTGTGTGTGTGTGTGTGTGAGAGAGAGAGAGAGAGAGATGCTGTCAAGTTGGTCCAAACTTATAGTGACTTTCAAGGTAAGTGAGATAGTTAGAGATTGGTTTTACCAGTTCTGCTCCCCAAGTGAGTTTCCATGACTGACAGTGATTCAGACCCTGTTCTCCAGAGTTCTAGTCCATCACTCTGTCCACTATTATTGTTTTTTTTTTGGGGGGGTGATACATGGTTAACTGATGAACAATGGTGTCCACTTCTGTGATTTTCCCTTGCTTGGTCTCACTTTGTGAATGGTAGCGAGCAAAAGAGAGTATCCTGTAGACCAGCCGTTCTCAATGGGGGCCATATTCCACCTTGGCATATTTGGAGGCCCTGGAACATTTGAAAGGGGCCAAAGACTGGAAATAATTCTTCATACACTTCCTTATAAGATTTGTTATGTGGCTTATACAATCCTGATTTTGCCTATATTTTATTCATACTGTTTTTTGGCCATGGTCAAAAAAGATCTTGACTGCTACCATTGGAGTTGTCAACACTCAGGCTACCCTTTGTTACATAAGCTTGCCATATTGTGCGGCAATACTAGACCGTCTCCTGGCATTTTGAATCATGTATACAGAAGCACAAGATTCCACATTCTTAAACTGGAGGATTTTTTAAAGAATCAAAGTACACACTTGCTGCCATAAGTGACTTGCACTGTTCGTAAGATGTTATCTCCAAATTTGGATAAAGCCAGGTTTCTCTTATCCAGATCCAAGATTCTGTCTTAAAGATCCTATTTGTAGTCATGCTGGAGCACATTTTATACCACATTTTATATCACCAGCATTTCCCCTCATTTCTAAGGAGGAAATAAAGACCTAAGTGTTCATCTTGGACTATAACGTAATCTTACTGCAAAGGTCAGAGTCATTAATATTCAATTTGCGATTGGGTTTGCTCATCTTTTTTCTTTTTCTTCATGCTCTAATCAGTCTTCCTTAAATTAACCTTCCTTACTTCTCTCTGAAATGTGACACTGTTTGGAAGTGCAAAGTTGCAGTTGTGTTGCACCAACAAGGAGTCGTATGAGGCACTTGCGTTCATGGCATACAACTCAACCTTTTTTTAAAACCAGGATGAACACACATTGTAATTATACTTGTCTTAGCACCATTCAGCTTATGCATAACTAGAATATAATTACACCTTCATTACAGGTTTCGCAGTTGCAGCAATTTCTCCGCCAGGAGGGCCACCAGGCTGTCATCTCAAATATTTTTGTAATCTGTTTCTCAAGGGGGAGCTTAGCATCCGTAAATCCTTAATCTCAAGCCTGTTTCAAACCCCTCCTCCCCTGCCCTTATCTCAAGCAATGACTTTCACATCCCCATAGCAATATGTTAGCACCATTGCCTTGAAGTGGATCAAGAGGATGGCATCTAGCAATATTTAATTGGCATGATAAAAGCGGTTGTAAAGAATCCCCTTCCTTTGCTGATCTTCAAATACAGACTTCAAAGGAGATTTTTCCCCCTTGATTTCCACAGAAGAAGGAGGTTTCAGCAGGCATGTGGAACTGCTGTCAAGAAGAATGGGAATTTAAAATTCTCAGATGGCTTAGATTAGAATGAGCCACATGCAAATGATTCCTTGTGTGTTTTGTGGTTTGGCTAGTTTCCATGCGTCATCTTCAGTTGTTTCCTCTTCTGCCTCGCTCTCTGCATTGTATACAGCAGTAGTTCCCTAGCTGTGACTCAGACTGCTCATGGTCAGCAAGGAGACTGCAAGCAATCCATATAAGAATGTGCTGACTGGTCAGGGAAACCCCAATCTGCAGGTGGACCAAAATGAAACGAACAAATCATAGAGAGAAAGCAGGTTGGAATGGTGGGTCCAGTCCTTTTGTCCATAGGCACATCATGAGAAGGCAGGATTCTCTAGAAAAGACAATAATGCTGGTAAAAGTAGAAGGCAGCAAGAAAAGAGGGAGACCCAATGCAAGATGGTCTTACTCCCTAAAGGAACCACTTTCTTGAGTTGACAAGAGTTAAGCAGGCCAGTTCAGTACAGGATATTTTGGAGATGGCTCATTCACAGGGTCACCTAAGCAAGCCAGTTCAGAGCAGGACATTTTGGAGATGGCTCATTCACAGGGTCACCGTAAGGTGGAAATGCTGACTTGACAGAACATAACGACAACAACAAAGTGCACTGTGATCAGCACAATATGTTTGTTGGAATGCTGGACTGTGGCAGGAAGCAAAGTGCTGACCCTTATATGAAGCTGCACCCATTGTGAAGGCATTCCTCCCATCTAAAATATATATAGAATGCCTATTCAAAAAAATAATTCTCACACCAGGAGCACGCAATGCCGCAAGCGGAACAAACAGAGACGAGAGTGGCTTATGAATCAAAGGGCAGTCTCTCCACAGAACCAACTCCTTTTCTTGACTGCTGATTCCGAGGAGGATCCTCCGAACCAAAGCATGATGGGAGGATAAGGTTGCATGTGTTCCAAAACAGGAGTGTTGACAGACATGGGGGGGGCAGCAGCCCAGGGCAGTGGGGATGGCAGCAGGAGAGACACACATTGACCTCCCCCAGTATCCGATTGCCTAAGGCCTATCCAATCCATCATTAAGAAGACTGCGCAGAGAGAGCAGTACATTTGTTTGAGCCTCTGCTATTGGGAGTGATATGACTCTCACAGACTCTCATGCTCCAAGTTAAATTGATGAAAATATTCCTCTTTTTTTATTTAACTGCAGTGCAATTTTTCTGTACGTGGTTTTGTGGTTTTCTACTGAGAACATTTGTAAGGCTTCTTATTGGATTTCTCAGCAGATGTTTCATTAACACGTTTTTTCTTTCTTTCTTTCTTGAAGAAAGCCGAAGAGGCACAGGATTATTACAATTCCCGCGCAAATTGTGCCTGTCCTGGGTAGGATCTAACTGTACAGGA